CTTGTACTGGTCTAAGACTGTAATAAACTGTGTCTGTCTGTCTGTCTGTCTGTCTGTCTGTCTGTCTGTCTGTCTGTCTGTCTGTCTATCTATCTATCTATCAACAGTAGGCAAGGGTACCAAACCCTTGCAGGTCTGTTACCTGCTCTCTACCCCCATGTATTTGGGCAGTGCTGTCATAGAATCTCACAAGACCTGCTATACATAATATGCTTTGATGTCACATAGGTCAGTTTCTATACAAGCAATTAAACTGACAGAAATAAAACCAACAGAAGGAATGGAAATCAGTGGAATAACCTTTCAGTTAGCAGGCCTTTAGTCTATTAATCAACCACAGTGTTTCAGAAGGGCTGATTCCAGCATGAAATTGTCAATTGCTGAGAAAATGTAACAAGTAGAACTTAGCTTCAGGAAATCTTGGAACTATTTTTCTTTTCATTACAAAGTCTGGTCAGTGCTATTGCCTCTTTAAGACTACAGTACACCAAAACACCATTCTTAAGCAACCCATATAGAGATGTGAATGTAACTAATGTCATTATGTGGTCATAATTTACATGATCTGCTCTAATGTAAAATATTAAAGTTAAAATATTCAGTTAATGAACAGAAATAATGAATAACTCTTACATTACTCAATTCATGCTTTACTCTTTCTTTTTTTCAAATTCCCTACTCATTAAGGACCTGTTAGTTACTCAGAACTAGATAATTGACATCCTTTGGCATCAAAAAATTCTGAGAAGTTGAGTTGTCTTTCTGCCTAACACCGCCTAGAAAGTTTAGATTTACCTGAAGTTGCATAAATCCAGGCAATATGTGATTAACAGATTCATAAAGATTCCAGGTAGTGGTGGCAATTATTTTTCTCTCCATAAATTTTGATTTTTGGAGAATGCTTGCACTCTGTAATCCTGATAGCATCTCATCTGAAAAGTGACTTCAAGTAAATATTGTCATTCCCATCACCATTATCCTATATTATTATTGAAATATATTTCTGCAAAGGGTGGTTTCATGCTCTCTTCTTTATAAATGGGCTTCATGAAGTCTTATGCATTTCAGAGGATACATACTGTATATTTACCTTTTGCAGAAATATGCATATATCTGAAATAGAAAGTACTTTTAAAAGATTGTTACAACTGTAAGGATATGGAGAGGAATGGTGCATCGGATTTCAGCAGTAATCCACAGGTAATAAATACAGGATATGCTGATCAATCCTTCCCTCTGAAATTTGGCAGGCCCCGACACTTTTAACCTTCCGAAAAGCACTCAAGACCTGGCTTTTCCCCTGAGTGCTGGGATAGCGTGAGCTAAGTTTAGTTATGGTGCCAGGTTTTTGGTTTCAGTATTTTTTGGTTTTAATATCTTTGGTTTAAATATTTTTATTTTATATAGATGTGGTGTTATTCCTTGGTTGTGAGCCACCCAGAGTTTGGTACAAGATGGGCAGCTATATAAATGTTTTAAATAAATAAGATAAATAAATACTCAGTAACAAGAGAAAAGGCTTTGTCAGCAATAAAATTTGGGGTAAAATTGCTGAAGATTTAAATAAAGGGAAGGTATGATAAATAAATATAAAATTATTTTCTCTGTGTATATTTGGGGAGGGGTTGGAATGGTGAATATAGCTATGTTGGAATAAAGCTGTGAAATGATTGTATGTGAAGTAATAATTGGCTTTGACAGTTTTTTTTTCTTTTGAAGAAAGAGCAAGAGTTAACATAAGCTGATCATAATTGTTGAGAAAGAGAATCCTCTTTGTATAATAAACCTTTACATCTTACCTTTCATTTAAAAAATATTTTGAGGTAGTTAAAAATTAGATATAAAATAATGTATGCTTGCCCACATTTCCCTGGTTAGAAATACAAGGAATAGTACTTTTTCAGACTAGAATTGTTTAAGATTACTAAACATGGAATTTATATCCTGAGAACCTGGGTAAGAGCTGCTGGGCCTGGGTTTCCAGTTAAAGTGAAAGTGATTTGTGGGCCTGAAAGTGCTAGGGGAAGTCACAATCCTTCTGGGAAGCCTGGGTGACTGTAAAACTTTGGATCATGAACAAGATTGTCATCAATACTATACAGACCATTCACAAAGAAAGTACAAGAAGCAGGGTGAACACAGAAGCCCTCTGGAACAAGAGAATAGGGGGATGAGGACTCTTGCTTTTACTAGCCCTCATGAGACTAGGAATGTGGTGTGAAGGATAACTAGGGTAGCTTTTTATGGAAATAGGTTGTAGTGAGAGTAAAATTAAAGGTGTATGGATCAAGGAGGGTCAAGCTGAGTGGTTGGTTGCCAGACGCCCCCCTTGTCTGAGCAACTGAGACCTTGTCAGTTGCATTACATGGAAGTTGGAAAACGGAGAAGACTTAGGGAATTTGGTTCAGGGTTGCTCTACTGGCCATGTTGAAAAAGGGATAGGGAGAAATGGAAAGATCCAGCAGAGAAATAAGGCAAAGATGTCATATTCAATGAGGATCAGTACGGGATGATAGTATGGGGAAGGAGTGGGTTGACCACTCCAGGGAACGGTGGCCTGCAATTTAGTGCTGATTGCTGCATGGTGGCCTTGTTCTTGTTGATGATGAGATTACTAGAGGTTTTGGCTTCAAGTTATCGCTGGTAAACATGGTTCAGTGTGTAGTAATACCATGTTCATCCAGTATTTACTTGTCAATAAGTGGACTTGGCATGTATGAGCAAAACCTGGTTGGGTGAGCGTCACAATATCAATATATGTCTGCCCACCCCACCCCCCTGGCTCCATGTTATGGTGAAGGTCCTTTCCCAGGGTTTAGAGGCTGTAAAAAACTGGTTGGGAAGAAGCAAGCTGAAGCTGAATCCTAGAAAGTTTTAAGCTACAGTGTATTCAGAAATGATATGGCACTATATCTGCTCTAATGATTACTCTGGATACGATAACATTACCCCCGAAGGTCAGGTTATCACTTGGGGGGTCCTCCTAGATACTCAGTTACTCCTAGATAGGCAGGTAAAAGCCACTGCTTTCCAGCAGCCTGGTTACATCTCCTATATTAGTGCAATGTTCTCTACATGGGGTTACCTTGGCAGAAGCTGCAGTTGGTACAAAATTAGTACAAAATGCAGCAGCCATCTTTTATACCACCTGTGTGGCAGTATAGAAATGTAGTAAATAACTAAATTACTGCGAATCATTTTCCAAGCAGGCAGAGTAGGAGGAAGAATGTTCATGATAAGTTTGCAACTTGAATGTTGTGGGCAACTTGTATAAATTCAGGGCAACCAGGTGCCTTCATAGGCACAATTCATTTCAAATGTTTTTTAAATTAAGACAGCTTGGATTGCCATAGCCAATCATCATGACTAGATTGCATATATGTATGAAGCATCCCTTAATGACAACATAATTAAAAAGTCTGAAATCATAAATGTGTTTGCTTATTAATTTATTTGCTGCAACTTGTGTGCTATTTCAGTCTAATTCTAGGCAGCTGACAGTACAGTACAACCCTGGCATACATGCTTATCTAGGAGTAAGTCCTACTGAACCAATTAGTCTCTCTTTATGAGAAAATAATTTGCTAAAATCCAATTTGTTTCTCTAACCCTCTGTGTCCCAATCTAACAAAACAAAGCACAAATAAGTAGATAAATTATTTCCAGTTTCCAAATAATGGTGAGTACTGTGTAAGATTTCATGGTTTATTTCCGGTGTCAGAGTAACAGAAGTGTTCAGGTGAGTCTTTTTCTCATGGGTACTCTGCAGCTGGCTACTTTAATTCTTTTCCAACATATTTGGAATTGCCAGCTTTAGCTTGAGGTAGTGACCATATGAGTATTTCATTCTAACATAAAATGTTGTGACAGCTTCCACTAGATGGCACTTTAAGGATATAGCAACCAGTTAGAATATATTCCTTATGTTTATCTCTGTTAATTTTATTATTTAAAATAGGGATGTATAATATTCATTTATGCAGCTCCGTTTTTTCCAGGTTTTGACTTGAACATTCCCAGGTGGAATGTATTACTCGGAGAACAGAGGGGTTGCAACTTGGCCATCAATGTTTTTCATAATTCATTTTTATATGCTGTTTCTTAAAATGAATAAACGTCTCTGGATCTCAAGGACTTTGTAATTAGAATCAGGAATTGAAAGTCATAAGAAGTTGGGCAGAAATTTAAATATTCAATCTATTGTGCATTAAATATCATCTTAGTATATACATAGCATATATACCATGCTTATCACATTATTCCCATTTGTATTAGCAACATTATGTAAAGCGTGGTAAGCCAAAAAATTAAAGACCAAAAAACTCCACAACAACCTATAAATCTAGATGATTTCACTAACAATCACTATACCTCTCCATATCGTTCCTTGAAAGCCATCCTGGATTCCATCATGCATTGCCTTTTGTTCTCTAAATTCTCCTCTTTGTGAAGATCTCATCAATTTCATCCAACCACAACTTTCTTGATCATCTCTCTTCTCTCAGCTTACACAGTCTTCGTATATTTGGTTTTGCTATTAAATCCTCAGTCATTTTCTCTATATGACGATACCTACCAAGAGAGAGAGAGAGAGGGGAGGGAGGGAGGGAGGGAGGGAGGGAATCACTTGCTTGTTTATTCAATCCACATTAGGTGGGATCAGAAATGATGGACAATTATCTTCCTATATCCAACCTCGCCTTGGGGAAGGTTATGAAGAAAATTATGAGCTGTCAATTACTAAGGGCTCTAGAAAGAAGCAGATTAACTGGATCCATGGTAGTCAGGGTTCAGGGCAGAGTATGGGATGGAAACCATACTGGTTGCTCAGATTGATAACTAACAATGAGGCATGGATGGAGGGACTACCAGCATCCTTGTCCTGCTAGACCTCAGTGTGGCCTTCAGTACTGTCAGCCACAGCATTCTTTCTTAGCTATGTGATTCAGGGCTGTGTATATCCCAAGTAAATTCTGTCTGCCTGGCTCAGGTGAATAGATAAGTTCTGTCAGGACATATGACACACAGGGCCAAAGAGGTAGCCATTCTCAGTAGCTGTTTTCCTCTTTTTGAACAGCTTAATCCCTAAGGCAAGTATGTCCCCGATGTTCTTCTGGAGAGTTATAATTTTGTGTACTACTTTGATTAAATTTTTACACCACATGGAATCTTAGCAATGGGTCAGTTTATAAATCTTATAAATATATTTCAACATGCATTCATTTTTTGCCCTATCTCTTTTTGTTTTACCACATGCTTTACCACTTAAGTATCCCATTTCCCACTGTGTTCAATTTTTATATTTCTCCTGACATACCCAACTTTCACTGTCATATAATAGAAGCCACATAATACAGCACAAATTACCCAATGCCTTTCTTCCAGCATTTTCTCATTTTTACCAAACATTCTATTAAGATGCACACATTTATCTACTTGCTCTATTTTTTCTATATTGAAAGATAAAGATGAAAAACAAAATACTCAATTGGAAAAGTTCAGAAGATGAGATGGATAGTATTACTCTCTTATACATGGAATGTATTTATGGAATACTTGATGGTTACATTATTCAAGTATTCAAAATATTTTTCATTGAAAATGAAGTTATCTTTCAACATGTAAGGCATGTGTGTTGAAAGTTTTAAACATTAAATGCTTTATTACATGGGGGTTTCAGGAAACCTATTTATTTATTTGTTTGTCACATAATAGAAAAGGAAAAGAGATAATAGCCCTGTAGCTGCAAAGTGCTAACTTGGTATACTCAGCCAGACTTTGAGGGCAAAAACAAGCAGAAACCCTGGAAATGTTCACTTTTTACAGCCATTTATCCAATTACCTTATTTCATATTTCTCTTCAGTACTTTTCTCTTGAACCAAATTGATTTCTTAGCATAAACTGAAGCTGGTAGTTTTCAATTAATCAGGCAAACTCAGTACTGTGATGTTAAAAAAGCTCTAAAGCTGCTTTAACACTTTGAGGAAGCATATATCACTTATTGTAATGTGCTTTGTGAAGCATCATTTTCACAAACTTTGCACAGCCCCAATAATTAACATGTTCCAGGACACTAAGCACAAATAGAGTTCTACTTCTCTCTCTATTGAACTGTAGTGTTCTGATGCTCTAAATAAAAGTCTGCCTACTGTACTTCGAAGGAGTAACAGGTAACAGTGAATAAACTCTTGTCTTATTCTAAGCATTATTTTAATAGTAAATACTTCATTGAAGGGTTTCTTGTTTTGTTTTTACTTGTTCTAACATTTTCCAAAGGAAAGCAAAAGCCTTGGGAATTTTGTTTCTGAATCATTGTTTTTTTCCTCCCAAGGCTTCACATCTAAGTCCCATCACTCATTTCTAGGAAGCTCTTTCCAAGTATCCAATGGAGATCAAATGCAGAAATCTAAACTCTTAATGGAAGTAAACTTTTGCTTCCTGTTAACGCTAAGGGGGGAAAATGAGATGTGAACCTTCATAGCATTCTCATTACATAAATAAAATGTCTGTAGCAAGTCCTTTATTTTATCAAGTCCTGATACTGCACAAATTGCTATTGTTCAGCAGGTTCATTTACAATAAATTTTGCAAGTCCTACTTTATTCAGTGGAAATTTCTAGCAGAGTGCACAAAACTACAACTGACCTGTGGTTGTATAGTGACAGTGCTTTAAAGATTGTATCTATTATTTCAGTATACAGTACCAAAATATCAGGCATTGCAATGGTGTAGTAAATATAGGGGAGGGGGGGGGAAACTTGGCTCTGAATTTCTCTCATTGGGAGCCAGGTTTTATTCTCAATGTAAAAATGACAACAAATGTAGCATCTGTTTCCTCTTCCTTCTCACCACACCACAAACTGGTATGAAAAGCATCCTTTCCTAATAGTTGGGAGGAAGGGTGCATTCTGAAAACTAATAGGATGGAGAATAAACTTCTCAACCTTTAAAAATTAAATCAGCTCATCTCTGGAAGTCCTGTCCTTTTCTAAGTCATATTACAGTGTGAGGGAATGTTAAAAACTGAGTATCAAAGTCATCTACAGAATCCAATAATCAGCACTGAGAGGTGAGCTCTACCCTTTATGAAGTCATCAGATATGGGGTTGGCTAGTCCCCTAGAGGCCTGGTGTTGCTTCCATCGGCCTCCTGGATTTTTCCTTTTCCTTTTATTCTTGTAAATGTGTTCTCTTATAAATTTTAACTGTATATTTATTTATTATTTTAATATGTTGTAAGCCCCCCAGAGTCCCCTATTGGGGGAGATGGGCAGGGACAAGTTTAATCATCATCATCATCATCATGTTATGTCACAGTGCACATACAAAAGTGGCAGAGCTTGCAACATGGCCATCATTTCACCATTTACCACCCATTCCCTCCCCCCCTCAAGATGCCCAAACTAAGAATGAAAGCACACTGCAATCTTTTGTATTACAGAAGTTTTCATGTTGTTACAGGTAGAACAAGACTCTGAAACAGACTCACATTTGCCAGTGAACCTGTCCCCGTCACAAGAAAGCAGCCCGGCAAAAAAGGTAAGGCCATATCATATAATCTTATTCAGTATAAGGTCCTCTTTTCAGATCCATAAAAGTAATGATTATATACTTCCATATATACTTTTTTTGAATAATAAAATTGTTCACTATATCATAGATAACTTCAGCATTGTTCTTTGTTGTTTTTTCCTCAAATCTTGTTTATGTACCCCATTGTAAGATATCAGAAAACTCTCTTGAGAAGTTTTATGGCATTTTGTCATTTTAATTAATTTTTAATAAAAATATTATTGTTATTGTGCTTTTATGGAACAAAGAAAGTATAAAAACTAAAAAACCTTAATCAACCTTAATCAAAAAGCCAATAAAATCAACAGTTGTATGACACCCAGTTGTTTCCATGTTCTTTACCATTTTTGGCTGAAAAACAGCAGGGATCTGAAAATCTTTCAGAATTTTGAATCCAAGGAAAGATTATTTGAGTGCTAGGCCTAAAGAAAAAAAGTATATCTATTTTTAAACAAAGATCCTAAAATAGTATCCTATTGCTACTGAAATTATTTTCTGTGGAAAGAATCAGACTTTCCCATTGTTAATGAATGATCAAAGTAAGGATTTTTTTCCGAGAATTACATAATAGTATATTCAGGGAGTAATATAGTCATGAATTTGGAAAAGAGATGTATTTTTTAGGTTCAGGTGATGAATGCTGTGACAACATTTCAAGCACAATTCATGATGCATTTTCAAAGATGAATTATTTGGAGGAAGGATTTCTGTATATATGGGTGAATTCAGTGCTAGAAGAATGTAGTATCCCTGCCAGAATGTTCAGATAAGATACTTGGATTGGAATCACAGGTTGGCAGCAATTTCAGATTGCCAGATAAACTCATGATTAATGAAATGCCCTGAACACGTAAAATTCTACAAGTTAGCGCAATATTTTTCTTTTAGCAATTGTTCCATTAAAGTTAACAATATAGAGACTGGAAGCCTTAATTACAGGTGTTTTTCAACTATAATTAACTTTCAGGTTAAAATAATTCATTTCATAAAGCTGGTTTTCTCTGAAGTGTTGGTATTGTATTGTATTATATTTATATTGCATTGTATTTGTACTGTATTTTATTGTATTTGTATTGCATTGTATTTAAATTGAAATACATTTAAATGTATGTTCCATAATATCTTCCACTTTTTTTTTTCAAGGAACATTCATTTAAGTGTTCACTTTTAGTATAATTTTTACTAAAAGTTAATATTTGAAATAATGTTTCAGTCCAAAACAAAGAGTTGCAGAAACATCTCTATATCATGCAGTTGTCAAAGCTTATTGCTAGGGTAGGCAAAGTTTTGGGCGGATGGCACATCAATAAAGCATATGCTGTATTAATTCACAGCATGGATGCCATAAGAATTGCCATAAGGTTGTTCTAGTGGGCTTTACCATTCACAAAATACCCATTTACCGGAAGACAAACTTATTTTATTCTCTGTGTTCAAGCAGAATACAGCAATACTTGTCTTCTGTTGGACACAGCACAGAAAACTAAAGTGGCATTGCTGTGTTCCCCTTGAACATTTAAATATCCCACAGTGCCTCTAAGAGTTTGCTATGTTTGTTAAGCTGCATTTCCCAGCTGTGCACTGTAGCATCCTGGGGTAACAAGGTGCACAGTTTGGAAACTGCAAGGCGGCATGAAAAAAATTACTGAGACACTAACCAAGAAAGTTTGGGAACCTCTGGTTTGGAGTTTAATAGTCATTTTCAGGCTTTTAAAAAGATATACAGTACTGGAAAAGTATAGCCTTTATGACATTTGTAAGTCCCTTGTTTACTTCACTCTTTTATCCTCTTTTTTATTCTTTTTCTTCACATGTTTATGTATTTCCTTTGAAATGTCTAATAAAAAAATATTTTTGAAAAAGATGTACATTTCTTTTTTACTTCACAGGACCTTGTACTTACTCAGCTACCATCAAAGCCAATTCACAGGAAATTCCGCCCTGAAATGCTGGAGAACCAGGAGCTTTCTCCCACGAAAAGCACACCCGCCTCTTCCTTGCCTACTATCAAACCTCACCATGCACTTCCAAAGTAAAAGGGCTGACTTATGCTATGAGCTGAGAAACTGGGAGTAGTGTGGGTTCTGTGACAACATAGAGGGGCTTAGATTTCCTTCAGAAGTAGTATGGGAGAAAGTGCAAATGAGCTACTTTGAAAATATCTGTTCTTAGAGACAACACACAATTTGCAAACAGCAGATAGAGATACAGCTTGTGTGATTCATTTGTTCTTATTAGTTTAGGGAATGCAAGCCCACTGTGAAAATGCCTGTGCTGCTAAAATATTACCCTCTGGACTATGTAGAGAAATCTCTAGAGAACAGTTAATCCATGGTTCAGTTGGGGGTGGAGAACACTGATGTTTTGCAAGAGCCTGGACAGAAAAATTGTATGTCCCTTCCAGGCTTCTAATTCAGTTAACAGATGAGGACAACTGAAATGTGCTGTAGCACTGATGCGCACAGAAGCACTTCCTAGCCCCTGAATCTGTGCAGCATCAGTCCTTGCTTTTCCCAAAAAGACACAAGGAGCTGTTGTAAATCACACCCTTTTGAGGGGTATGCATTGGTGGGGGGAGGGGTGAACAGCGTGAAAGGTTTGAAGCCTCCTTGGAACTTGTGTGATCTGCAAGAAATATTCTTCTTTGAGCTTCACTTATAAAGAGGCATTTCCTACTGGCATAATAAATTAGAGGGAAGTGCTTGAATTTTATTGATTAAAAGAAACATATTTGTTTTCCACAGCTAGAATGCTGAGAGATGAGGGAGAAGGCAGTTCGAGAGGCTATAAATTTTTCAGGAAAAAGGGAAATTCAAGAGCTCAAACTGCCAACTCTGTTTTAGAGAGACAGAGCAAGCCAAGGACTCTTTTTCACATAAGCTTTGTGTGTTTGCAAAATAAAGTATCTGCCTTGGCTCACATTGTCATTTAAGATCAGCCAGCACCTCATTGAGAATTGTAAGAAATCTCAGAAATAATTCTGCTTATCTAGTGCTTTTGTTAGTTTTCCTCATTCTTTGGTTTTCTTTCTTTATAGATAAAATTGTAAATATCTTTGTTTTTAAAAAGTAGAATAGAAACCTATAAAAAATCCAGAGGATCATCTGCTGAAAAATCTGTTTTCATTTGTGGCATCGTAATTTAGGACTGATTTGTATGTTATAAGGAAGTAGGGAATGTAGCAGTGCATGTAATAACAGATAGTTTCCCTATTTCTTTGTAATATATACTGCTTGAGTTGGAAAAAACTAGGAAAAAACTAGCAAAGTATTATTTAATAAGGAAAAACATGTATCTGGATGCAAATATTCTTAATAAAAATGTGAGTCTGTGTAAGTCTGTTTTATAATATAAGCTCTATATATGGAGGAGGATATTTGCATTTAAAGCAGGTGTTGTCAGGAGACCTATCATAGTGATTGCCCCTTAGTAAATAGAAGACATAGCTATTGCTGATTGATTTAGAAAAACGTGACCATGAGAGAACCAGTTTGATGTAGTGCTTAAAGTGCTGGGGTAGAAACTGGGAAATCATAGTCCTCCTTTAGGATGAAAATTGGCTTAGGGCCAGTCACACTGTCTTAGTCAAACCCCTCTTACAGGATGTTGCTGGGGAAAATAGAAGGTGGTAGCATTATGCATGCCACCTTGAGTTGTACAAGATAGAGGTGGGATATAAATCAAATAGTCCCTGTGGAACATCATCCCCCCTGAGGTGAGATTGGCCCCATCCCTGCCAATCTTCTGGAAGTCCCTTAAAGCCTGAGTGTGTCAACCGGCCTGGGGGTCGCAAGTGATCTGATGAGGTGGCTCCTTTGTTTGTAATCTGATGCCCTCTCTTAGCCTTTACATAATAATATTAATATTTGTACATCTTTTTAAAAATTGTTTTTAGATGGTTTGTTTATATGCCGCCCAGAGTAATGTCTCATGAGATGGGTGGCTGTATAAATATGATAAATAAATTAGTACATCACCATGTTAGATTAGAGTTCCCTCCATTTGGAGTGATCGCAAACCAGATTGGTGGATATTTAGGGAAACAGCCTTTTTAAAACCTGGAATTGGAAAAATGTTTATGTTAGAATGTTGTAGAACATACTGTTTACGAACAAGGCTGTACATATCAGTCCAGAAAGATCTGCGTGAGACTTTAAGATATTGTTTATTTTGGTCCCCAAGTTGTTCTTAGAAATAAAGGTGATTCTAGAGCCTGGTGCTTTGCTTTGCAGTAGATCAGCTTCCTATTTTTTAATTTAAAGAGAGAGAGAAATGATAGATAGATAGATAGATAGATAGATAGATAGATAGATAGATAGATAGACAGACAGACAGACAGACAGACAGACAGACAGACAGACAGACAGACAGACCGACCGACCGAGTCAGAAGGAAGCACAAAGGAGATCCTATGGGGAAATTAGATATAGGTTGAGGACCCTAGCAATAGTTTACTTACACTTACTTTCTACAGGAGCTACATATTGCAAAGGTGCTTGCCCCACCTTTTTTTGCTTGGTTTTAATTTAAGCACACCATATCCTTTTTGTC